AGAGGCATTTCAGAGGTTGGAGTTTTGAAATATTTTTGGCTAAATATAAACCCATAACAATTCTTAGCAGTCTTTTGAGGTAAAATATTTTCTTCCACTGTTCTTACAGCGAATAATGGCTTTTTCATCTTTTTTGGAAAATTCTGCAGCTCTCTTAAGACTTATTTTTTGTTGTCAAATAAAATTAAAGGAGGCATTGGTATTGTAAAAAACAACAACAAAAACATGCTTTTGTATTTTAACACTGACATTGCTTTCATTTGAAATTAGTCATGCACATTTTTCTTCTTGATACGTAAACAAAATATGCAGTGAGGAGGTCCTAGATCTAAATATTTCACAATGAACTGCTATCACTTATATTTCACTCTGCCCATGGTAGGAGAGAAAGGTATATAAAACTGGGAATAGACCTGGTCTGTGAAAATTTGCTTCTTTTTTTTTTTTGGAATAAAACTCCCAGTATCTCCCACCCAACATGATCGTTTCTGAGCTATGCAACAAACAGCTTACACCTGCATTTAGTGGTTTGAGTGTTGGACTATGACTCCGGAGACCAAGGTTAAAAAGCAAAACAAATACACGTGGGGAGGATACAAACCTTACATGGGAAAGGAAGAAGAAAACCTTATCCGTAAACTATACGCCAGAATCACCCCTACTACATCTACCCCACCATAAAAATCGGAATCTTACGTACTTTATACTTTTATCATATTATTTTAAAGAAACGGTTATCTTGTTCTCATAAATATTTTGAAGAAATATACAGTTGAATAGGAATACTACAATTCTGGAGACCAGGCTCAGCCATACAAACCTACTGGGTGACCTTGGGCAAATCACACACTCTCAGCCTCAGAGGACAATCTGAACAATCTTGCCAAGAAAACCCTATTATAAGTTTGTCTTAGATTCACCATAAGTCAGAAATTGTCCCAAACACAGTCCAGGCAACAAGCCAAATGCTATTACTATACCGCTGATAGCAAATGCCCCAGCAGCTAATGAACAAGTGAAGCAACAGAGCAGCTTACACTTCAGCCCTTACTTTACTTATAAAACACAAGTCTTAAGTCCCAAACAGAGGACCTTATCCCACGGGGCCAAAAGCAGCAAGAATCGGCTAAGAATCAGGCGCTATAGCGCTATAGTTTTCCGGGTGATCCCACGACGTCGCTCGGAATCCGCTAAGAATCAGGCGCTATAGCGCTATAGTTTTCCGGGTGATCCCACGACGTCGCTCAGAATACAACAAGAAACCGCTCGGAATGCAGCATCATTCGGGTTCTTTTGTATTCCTGTTTTCATCGGGCATTGCAATAGCGCTAGCTTATCCATAGCGCTATTATAGCGCTAGCGCCATATTATACTAGCGCTATAGTACTGCAATGATGCTCATACGGTTTCTTGCCACTTTTGAGAGCAGCGTGGGATAAGGTCCAGAGTTTATTCACAAGCATCAGGTCCAGCAAGAGAGTTCAACAATATCCAGGTCAGTTAAATGGTATCTAAAGCCTACAAATTTACTCCACGTCAAGCACAGAATTCAGGAACATGATAGGGAGCCAGGTAGGTCAGATAATCTCTAATAAGTCATGTCAGGACTGGAAATTTATAGATCTGCAGCTCAATGCAGATGCTGCTTAATTAATCGTTGCTTCCCATAAATCCTCTGAGACCTCAAGTCCTCCCTTTGTTGTCTCTGCTCAGAGAAGGTAGGTATGGTTCTGTATCTGAATGGGCAGGACTCTCTGCCAGAGCTGGTACTATGCTCTGGTCAGTTTCTGAGACTTGTGGCTGTGGAACGTCCTCCTGCTCTGGTTCAGCAGCTGGTCCCAGTAGTCCCACTGCTTCAGTCTTGGAATCAGAGTGCATTTGCATGTTCTGGAAGCAGGGCATAAACAGAAATTACTTGAAGGCACACAACAACAGCTGCTCAATACCTGCTGGTTCCTCAGCAGGAGGGGCATCACACTGCTGATGTTCATATTCTTGTTCTGTCTTCTTAGTCATTCCTGGTCATTCCATGATTTCCTCCCATTTGCCAGAAGGTAATTTACAAACGACAAAATGGAAAGAAATCCTGAGGAAAAAGCTTTTAAAAAGGGCACTTCCCATTCAAAACAGGAAACACAATCTTCATTGTTATGTGAGAAGCAAAAAACCTTGAGGAATATTGACTCTCTGAGTAAGGCTAATTTGAAAATGTTGGCCATATGATGTTCTTAACTGCCCTTGGGTTGGTCCCAACTCATGGTGACCTTGTGGATAAGACATCTCCAAGTTCCCCTATCCTCCATTGCTCTGCTTAAGTCTTGTAGGTTCATGTTGGTCATCTTCATAATGAATCTAGCCATCTGGTGCTTGGTCTTCCTCTCTTTCTACTGTCCTCAACCTTTCCTAGCACTATTGTCTTTTTAAGTGAGTCATGCCTTCTCAGGATGTGGCCAAAAGTACAACAGCCTCAGTTTCATCATCTTGGCTTCTAGGGAGAGTTCTGGTTTGATCTGTTTGAAGACCCATTTATTTGTAGTACAGGAACTTTTTGGCTGTCCACAGTATCCTCAGCACTCTTCTCCATATCTCAACTAAATTGATTTTTTTCTTCTCCACTTTTTTTTACTGTCCACCTCTCACATTGGTACATGGTGATGGGGAATACTATGGCTTGGACAATTCTGACTTTGGTGCTCAATTGTATGACTGTACACTTTAGGTCTTATCTAGTTCTTTCATTGCTGCTCTTCTCATTCCTAGTCTTTTTATTTCTTGTCTGCAGTCACCATTCTGATCTATGTTTGATCAGAGTACAGGAGTACAGGAACTTTTTAACTATTTCAATTGCTTCATTGTCTAAGGCCTGAAACAGATAGGCAGTAAAGTGCGGCCAATGCTTGATAAAGTTGAAGGTAGTAGGAAAAGGGGATACAGTCGGCCTTCTGTTTTCGTGGTGGATCCATTCCAGACCTTCCCCCCCCCCCGTGAAAATGGAGACTCTCCAATATTCAAGCTCCATAGGCTTAAATGGGGCGCATGACCACCAGTGCACACCCAATTGAAGTTAAAGGAGGTCACCCCTCCGTGAATATTTAAGTCCGTGGATCTCAAGTCGACGAGAACGGAGGTGTGACTGTATATTGATTCAGCAAAGGAAACTACAGCCCTGAGTTTTCAAAACTAGAACAAAGTTGTTGATGACCAGAGGTCATGGAAATCTCGAAGCATTTCAAACCATCATTGTAAGTTAAAGCTGTCTTGATTGCAGATAATAACAATATCCAGTCGGTCTATAGATTCCAGAATCCTCCAGCCAGCAGGACTACTGATCATGGACTATATGGGATTCTGTAGTCCAAAAATGTTTCCCACAGTCTGTGCTGTACTTTGCTTTAGTTTAGACAAACCACAGTAAATTTCCTTTATTAAGCTCCCTACTTTATCAGTCAGAAGCTGAAGAAGTCCAATTTAACCCTTGCAATCAGCAAGAAACAAATACTTATAAGGCATTTCTGAAAAACTTTGGGCACCCAGTCATCATATCTATTTTCAGGTCCTATTGACCTTCCAGGAGTCCATAATACCTCTCCACTTGTGCCTTTCTAACACGTCTGAGCACAGGATTTGAACCTGCACCATCATCACCATCACCACCACCACCATCATGAAGCTGGCATCAGGAGAAACACTTACACCCTGAATAGATGAGGCTAAAGCTTTACCTCTTAAACTGAGTAGTGCTGTTCCACTTCACATTGAAATGTGATTCACTACACCTCTGGATAAGCAATCTGATCCTATCACCATGTTTAAGTGTGGAATTTCTTCTGGGTGCCAGCACATTATTATCCCTTGCCTGCCGCTTGAAGAGCTTAGAAAAATTACTTTGGGAGGGCCATTCCTATATGGACTCCCAAGTCCCAGCAATACTATTTTGGGCAACAATTTCCAAAGTTCATACTGGCTGGCGAATTCTGGTCTTGTCCTCTCCCACCCACCAAAAAGCACAAACTTAACATTTCTAAGCACTGCCAGAGAGCCATGCTATCCTAATTTCCCAAACAGGGCTGGGCTGAAACATTTTGCTGCCTGAAGCATGTGCCAGACTACAACCCTCATCATCCCCAGACAGCATAGTCATTGGGATTATGGGAGTTGTAGTCCAGCACATCAGGAGGGGGTAGGTTAGCAAAGGATGCTCTAAAGTAAGATAATGTTTGAAAATACCTGTAATATCCAAGATGTTATTGACAATGACCAAGCATTATTATTGGGCAGTTAAAAGAAAAATGAAATTCAATTACATTGTGGGGATTATTTTTCCTTCCAGTGAGCTACCTTATTCTCATTAACTGGATTCTGTAGTCCTGAGACAGTTTCATACCTGTCATGAATGCTAGCTTTTCAAATAAGCAGCATCTGCTAAAAATATATATATTCTTCTTTTTACATGGGAACAGGAGATTGCATTCCATCCTGTTAGATGATAACCTGTCCTCAGCCATCTGCACATCTGTAACCTGAGAAATTGCCTTATTCTCCCAGGCCGAACTGTCCCAGGATAGTTCTGTTCTGTAGGAATTGTAGATCCGCCAATTTAATTGAAGGCTTGTCTCCTTGAAAATGAAGACTTTTCTTGGCAATGGGCTGGAAGTTAGTGGTTTATAACAAATTGTATGCTCGGGATTTCAAATGCAGTACAGTAAATGGTATATAGCCTTAAGAAGTAGGTTGTATTTATGGGCAGTGCCCAAGTGTGGGGTGAGTAACTTCTACCTGTGCATCCTGATTGCTGTATCCTTCTTCTACAAGGAAATGGAGTTTTGAAGTAGACATTGTAAATAAAGTATAAATCAGGGGTCGGCAACCTACGGCCCGCGGGCCAGATCCGGCCCA